AATTTGATTGTAGGGTGATGTGAGTTTGCTTGTTCGATGAACTTGTCTATATCAGGTTGGCTGAGTAAGGATGATTGAGTAAGTATCGAATTCTGTCAAAACATGGCGGTAAATAAATTATTTTATTATACGGCAAGATGGAGATGAGGCGTGAAATCCGAGCGTTCTGATTGGTTCTTTCTTAGTCGGGATTTTACCACACGGACGGTTTCCAGTCATAAGCCGCTTTTTTGTTTTGCTTTCGTAAGCTGTGGAGAGCCAAATAATAAACTACTTTCTAACCTAGCTTACTCAAGCCGTACAGGGGAATATTGGCCCTTGGTCGTTTTTGCACGGATCTCAATGTGCTTGCTCCGTTCTACCACGACCTCGGGCCATTAGGGAATTTAAGTAACCCACGATGCCGAGGACCACGTCGATTAAAAATATGAACTTATATTTTACCTACGAATCTCGCGGTACTCTAGTCCGCTTCACTTTTTTTATCACTGTCAAAACTATCACGTACTAACTGAATCTGGGACACATCGATGATTTTGAAATAACAATCCAAAAAATTAGCCGTCGTGGTTCACGTTCTCCAGACGATGCAGAATTTGGTCTTTTCAAGTTGCTGTTCTGCAGAGGACGGCAAGTGAATATACCAAGAATCAAAACGCACGTCACAGCCATTGTTCTAGCGACGTTCCCGTTGCCGTTGCCGTCGTGGTTTTCTTCCGAGGCCCTGATATTCCCCAGTGTGGCCCTCGCACTCGGTAGAGCTTAGTATGCTCAAGCTCGGAAACTTCATCGATTAGAAAGATGTTTGGAATCGCTCAATACAAACATGGAATACTCGAATACTCTCAAGAGACTCGATAAAGAATTTCTGTCAAAAGCTACAAAGATTTCTGACCAGCCTAAAAAGTGATCAGTTTAGCCTAAGTTAGCCTGTTTAAGGGTTAGCTCTCAATAACTACAAAGGCTTTCCCGTTTTCTTTCGGCGATTACAAGCTTATTAATTGCTATTTATCACCTGCATGTCCAGTACATCAGGTAACTATAATAATGATCCAAGAACACTTCATTTTTTCGCATATTTCGACGCATATATATTTCTTATAATTTAATGCACATTTTCTTTGTTTAGGCGCCCTTCACCGACATGTCCGGCAGACAGACAACCTTTGTCACGTGAGAAGGTGTATCAAAGCATAACGTTTTGTACACTAACTTGGTAGTAGCAGTTATTTGAAGGAAATTTAGTTAGAATTCTACTAAAACTACTACCGCATCACCTCGAACCCACAATCCAATTAAGGAATGGACAACATTTATCGAGTCTCTATCGAGTTTTATAAAATATTTAAGATATTACGCGTGCTCTCATTGATCGAAAGGTGTGCTTACTATAGAAAAGAGCATATGCACACGATACTATATATCATATAAAAGCAATAGGGGAATTTTTCCGTGTTTTACGCTCAGTTGGAATTGGGATAAAGTTATGCAAATCCTCGACTGCGTATTAGATTTGCATAACTGACTCGAATTCTTCTACAGAAACAGAAACACAGAGAAAATTGTTTTCTATTTTTTCTTTTTTTAGAAAACAGCCCAGAGAAAATAACGAATGTGACTACGAAAACTTTTCTTCCTTTTTTTTTTTAATTGGAACACATTAATTACAACACAACCTAATATTACTTACAATATCAATATTGCCTACAACACAAACATTGCTTACAATAGCGACATTGCCTTGCAAAACCGTAACATAACTTGAGATACTAACTCTACTTACAATACCAACTTGTATTGGAAAATGGCAAGTCTGCAGTGTCTTTGGCGGCGTTAAATGGAAGACTATAAATGAGTTGTACTGCATCCTCCTTTAGATCGGCTTCTTTCATCTTTCTTAGGCGCAACGAAGTTACCTTTTTAAGACAAAGAATTTGGCCTATTTGAAATTGATTTAAAGATATCTTTAATATCCTTTTCAGGATATTTTTTCAATATTTCAATGTTTTTTCAGTTTTTTTTTTTTTTTTTAATAGAAATACGATTTTTAACATATCAGCACGCGTATTTTCTTTGGGTTATTTTTTAAATGTTGAATACGGAAACAGGGGGTGAATCTTTGGTAAAACGAGAAATGCTGCATGTTTCTACAGCTTTTCTAATTTCTCCCAAAGTTTAACGCTGTACGGTAAAATTGTTTTCTATTTTTTTTTAGAACACAATGCGAGATAAAGAAAGGAAAATAACTAGTTTATTTCGAATTTTCTCGCGCAATCATTAGGCCAACAGCTCGGACTAGTGCTGAGTAACTTTGAAAGTACGGCTTTTAACGCACGCTTTCTTGCAAGGCGCTTTCCCAAGGTAGTTAAAGGGGATTGTAATGGAGTGAATATGTACTCTGCTTACGATATATAATAGCAAATTTCCGGTCTAAATGCATACCCAGTGGCATAAAGGTTTTTCCAATATATGTTCTTTTACTTTCCGCCGCAAATTTTGGTAACTGTAGATATTTCCAGATGCTGGTTGTCATCGTCAAATTTTAGATCTTACCGTGAGATGTCCCCATTCTGGATGTTCATGGACTGGAGATTTGCGTGCTGTGGAGGTATGTTCTTCTGGCTCCTTTTTAACTTTTGGGAAGAATCTCAATCTCAAAGAATCTCATGCAGGATTTTTTCGGCAGATTCTAAACTTAGCTTTTCACAGCAATTTTCCTGTTTCGTATCAATCCGGTTTGACTCAAACCATTTTTCCATCTCTACATTTTGTTTCTTTTGTTTCTGTATAGGTAAAAACTTTTTACTTTTTGAAGCCTTCTTTCGATTTGTTTAGCCCCGATAACAGCTGAGAAAAACATATTGTGGCATCAAACTTCCAGAGTGTCAAAGGTGGACATTTTACACGGCTGCATACTTACACTGCTCACAGTCTGTCGTATTTTTGTGTTCATTAATTTATATTTTAAGGAACACCAACCAGAATGCCTCTTCAAAGTGGTCAAGTGTCCAAACTCAGGTTGTACAAAAATGCTCAGCAAGCGAGACATGAAAACTCACGAGACATCAGAATGTTCTTGGAGGAAAGTGAACTGTGAACATTGTCAAGAATCAGTCATCATGGATCAAAAACAGGTTTGCAACAGGTTTTTACAGTCTACCCTTGCTACCTTGAACTCGATGATTTTGAATGCCCCGCTATCTCGATCGTAAATCATTTTCCCTTGGATAGGCTCCTTCAGCCATTTACTATCATTCGGCTGCCTTTAGCTACCGCTTTTTTCTTTTTTTTTCTTTTTTTTTGGTTCCCTGAGAGTTCGAGAATGTGGGGTTTGATTACTAAACTGTAGACTAGGGTTTGCAAAAACACTCAACATTTTGTAAGGTCTCGTCCACACTACGCCGGAGAAAATTAAAACATCCCTTTCCACTCTGAAAACGCATCAAATGTTTTCTGTTCACAGTCACGGAAGACGGATAAATTTTTTTTTCGGTTGGCGGTCACATTTTTCTCTCTTGTTTCAAAAACATGCAACATTTTTAAGTTTGAGTTACTCCTCTTTGACGGACACGCTGTATCAGTTTCAATGTGTCAAAGAAATTGTCTGTTATAGTTCGGATACCGCTACATAGTACGGCATAATTAAGCAGATGAGACGCTTCCAAATGGATTCCAACGAGTTTTGTCTGAAATTAAATTGCAGTTTGTAATTGCTCGAATCAAAAGCGAAAAGTTAGCTATTCGACTTTGCCACGTTGGCACCGGGGGAGCTCACATCAAGTTAGAGGACTAGTGAAAGAGGCAACCCATATTTTGCTTCGTACGTGGTCTTCTGAGGTCTGGAGTCGAAAACATGACGTGTTTTGCGAGGGCCGACGGAAAATTTGGGGGGCATCCGATCGAGGAGGTTCCAGACCTCGGACCAGATGACCGCATATTAAAAATTTACAATGGGCACCACACAATGAGAAATATAATCTTTCGTCCTGTGATCTGGTGGTTGATCTACCTTTTGGTTAAATGGCGGTGTCCCAAAAGGACTGGGAACTAATAATTTCACCCATTTTATTGGCTAAAACCTAATATTTACCGCGGTCTAAATTTTACCAGCTTGACGAGCATCGTGACCAGCTGTTACATTTGCCGAGAGAAGCTTACAAAAAATTCAAAACCATCGGCTTACTTTTGCTAAGCGACACAAACGCAGCCTGCACATGCATGTCTGATTGTTTCAAACATTTAGCACTCTCACGCCGCGGGAAGCTACACACATCTGCGAATGCATATGGGTTGGGGGGGAGTTGGGTTCGCCAGCTCCTTGCTCGCTAAGTACTCCCTACGTGCTTTGGTTTCTTGATTAACAACACCAAATGATCAATGACGAATCTTACCACGTACAAATTTTTTGTCCAGGCGGACGCTTCATACATTCACGCTCTTTTGATCCTCTTTACAATGCCAACCTCTCCACAACGGCAACGGCCGGTAAAGCGCGTCTCGACTGCCAAAACAACCTCTTAACAACGGGCAGTTAATCAACGACTGACGAACGCTGTATGTAAAAACCCCGTTTTTACTGTAAAAGGTCAAAAAACCTGATCCGTACCGCGCGCCGTTGGTTTCTGTTTCTATTTGATTTCTGTATTATTCATCAGTAAATTTTGATTGTGTTACCTACAAGTATTATCTGTAAAATAAGCAGTTTTTAAGATAAAAATTTCGCACCCTCGAAAAAAACAGGTGTCATATTACACCCCTACCTCCCCATAACGGCCACCTCTCTTCAACGGCCACTTTCCTCTGTCCACAAGGTGGCCGTTGTGGAGAGGCTCGTGTGTAGCACTCGCTAGCCAAGTGTAAACTCTATGTTAAGCAAATTGATCTTTTTAATGATTGGGAACCAGCCATTCACAAGACTAAACCATGGTGGAGTCATGTGGGTTGGGAACCAACTATCGAATGTGTTTTATCGATGGAAACTTTTGTTTAATTTTTTTCAGAAACATTTTGATATTTGCCGAAAGTTTCCTGTTCTGTGTACTAACAAGTGTGGTGTGAGAGATATTCCGCGAGAAAAGGTTTGTTTTATAACCTTAGGTCAGAGCAGACTTCATCACTTTGTGTGCTAATTTCATTAGTCAAGAGCAGTAAGACATTGCGTTTCAAAACAGAAGTGTTTAAATCAAAAAGATCTCACGCCGCAAGAAGAAAGCCCTTGGTTTGTGCTCAGTTCCGCTGCGCAGGTAATAGGAAAGGCCTCTAGGTACAGATACATTTAGATTACAACAAATAACTCTGTTTAAATCGGGGTAGCCTGTGATCAAGTTACAAAGGGGGATAGATTACGCACGATCATGTGTTCCGGGAAATGGTGCCGTCCAGACAAACGGAGAGGGGTGTTCATAGGGTTCGAGGCATACCACTGGACTAGCAATGGGAGAGAACTGGAAGGCCAGAAGGCGAATTAGGGCGAAATTGAAAGACTTTTTAAGGGTAATGTGAGATTCTTTTGTGGTTGTTTGTGTTTCCAGCTTGAGGTCCATGTACGCGATGAATGTCCTGCAACCGAAATTCAGTGTGAATACAAGAACTTAGGATGTGAAGCTGTGGTATGAACTTGTTTATATATTTAAAATACTTTTCAGTTGGATATTCAGTGTGAATACAGGGATTTAGAATGTAACGCAACTTTCATTCACTGGTTATTTTAAACTTGTGAATATATTGGGAAAATCATGGAGTTATATAGACAGGACGAATTGTGTGAAAAGTATAAATCACATGTTCTTTCATTCCCCATGTCTTAATCTAACATAGGATGGTTGTTTGGGTGTTCTTAGTAAACGTTAGCATGAATACACAAACCTGGCGACTACGACTGGTGTTAACAGCGTAGAGGAGAACAAACTTATTCAACGGCGCAAAGGAAATCTGCCGCGAACGCAACCCTCCATTTGCGTCAGTAATGCAGCTGAATAATAATAAGCTGGAGAGTTGATTAAAATTACTTCACACCTCTACTGTGCTGTTTCGCTTGCATGTATCTTCTTTTTACAAAAAATCACTATAATTAAGTTACTCTATATTACATTATTTCCATGACAGCCGAATTGGAATTTCAAAATGTAACGTTGCTTTTTTAGGAGGGAGGAAAACCGTAGCACCCAGAGAAAAGTCGTATCACATATCATGACGAGAACAAACAACACATGGCACCAAGCCAAAATCAAAAGCGGACCACAGAGACAAGCGGTCGCACCCTCGGGGGAGGGGGGACTATCAAGTGAAAGGGTCGAGGATAGTCGTCGAAAACTTTTATTTAAACCTCTAATGGAGACTAATCTGGGTTTGGCTTGAACTTTATTTGATCTCTAAAAGCTGACATGATAGCGCTTTTTATTATTCTTCGAATGCAACCCAGTAAGATAACGAGGGGTGGCGAATGCGTTTTTCCTTGCAAGGCCTAGACATTTCGACTTTTTAGATTGCGAGACCGAGACTTCAAAGTGTTTTAAGTGCGAGCGCGAGACGTTCAGACCGATAAAATTCGAGCCCCATATTTAGTTCAGAGCTAGAATGAGCTTGTACAGTCTTTAGCCAGCTTCTTGGAACTGACTGGAAATGGAAATTCGATTATAACACTACATTATGATATCCTAGAGAAATATAACTGTTTTTCTGGCGCCAAATCGGACGTTGCGGTGGGTTTTGTACCTTTTTGTGGAATTAAGACAATTAGGAGAAGTTAGGATTAACCTTTTCTCGGAAAATTTGAAAGTTGCCTTGTTGAAATTCCATATTATGTAAAGACAAGACGTAATTTATAAAAATAGTTAAAGGAACGAATTGGGACTTCGAGACCCTTAGCCTTGCGAAAAATCGAGACTCCGAGACAGCNATGTAAAGACAAGACGTAATTTATAAAAATAGTTAAAGGAACGAATTGGGACTTCGAGACCCTTAGCCTTGCGAAAAATCGAGACTCCGAGACAGCTTCGTAGAAAATCGAGACTGCGAGACGCATGAGACCCATGAAATTCGACTAAAGTTTTACGAGACCTAGAGTTTTTGAAGGACCATTCGCCACCCCTGACTTGATGGCTAAAAATAGTAGCGGTATTTTCTCCTCAGTGAACACTCTAAGTGAGAACAAAATCCGTGATTTATACCCCTAAGCGAGGCGTGCAGCATTCCCGACCTTTACACATGAAAGTCTCCCCAAATTTTCGCCCGGGCTCTCGCCAATGCGTGATGTCAGCTCCTCACATAAAGCGTAATTTTGACATTTTTGTAGCCGAACGGATAAGAAAATGAGTAACTGAGAAGCGACAATTTGATCGACACTGTTCTTTTAGGGAATTCCACGATTATATAGCTGCATCAAAATCCAATATTGCCAACAGATCTATTTTTTATTAATTTTTCCCAGCTGTCCAAATTTAAAATAAATTGGATAGTTTTTGCTCGAACGTTTAGTTTGGCTTTGAACAAACTGTCCAATTTGAGAAAAATCACGTTCCATCAGCCAGTCAAATGTCAAGATAAATAAAAGAACTGAGTATTGACCAATCAGGTTGTAGCTATTACTACAGCCATCAAACGTCAGCGAGCGATTGTAGCTCGCTAAGTTTTATTATGTTTTGATAATGGCGGAATTTCCC